TGTGTTAAATTTGCGTTGCGAGTGTGTGTTAGATTGGTGCGCGTGTGTGTATTTAATTGGTGCGCTTTGATGTGTTAATTGCGGGTGCGCGTGTGTGTTAATTGCGTGCGCGTGTGTTTAATTGGTGCGCGTTGTGTGTTAATTTGGGTGCGCGTGTTGTTAATTGGTGCGCCGTGTGTGTTAAATTTGTGCGCGTGTGTTGGTTAATTGTGTGCGCGGTGTGTTAATTGTAGTGCCGTGTGTGCTTAATTGTGCCGTGGTGTGTTAAATTGGGTGCGCTGTGTGTTAGGTTGGTGCGCGCCTCTGATGTGTTATATTGCGTGGCGCGCGCTGTGTGTATTGGTGCGCGTGTGTGTTAGATGGTGCGGTAGTGTAATGGTCCGGTGTTGTAAGTTTGTCGTGCGCGTGTGGGTGTTAATGCGTGCGCGTGGTGTGGTAGTTGGTGCGGTGTGTGTTAGTTGACCGGGGAAATGTGTGTGTTAGGTTGGTGCCAGCGGGTGGTGTATGTGGTGCGCGTCTGTGTGTTAATATTGTGTGCGTCTGATGTGTTAGTGCGCGCATTGTGTACTTGCGCGTGTGTGTTAGTTGGTCGGTCTTTGTGGTGCGGCTGTGTGTTAGTTGGTGCGCGATAGATGTGTGTTGTTGGTGGCGCGTGTTTGTCGTGTGTTGTTAGTTGGTGCGCGTCTGTGTGGTTAGTTGGTGCGCGCTGATGTGTTAGTTGGCGTGTGTTTGTGTTAGTTGTGCGCGCAGTGGTGGTTAGTTGTTTGGCGCAGTCCGTTGGTGTTAGTTGGTGAGTGTTGGTGTTTAGTTGGGTGAGTTTGGTGTTAGTGAGTGAGTGTTGGTGTTAGTTGTGAGTGTTGGTGTTAGTTGGTGAGTGTTGGTGTTAGTTGGTGAGTGTGGTGTTAGTTTGGTGAGTTGTTGAGTGTTAGTTGGTGCAGTGTTGGTGTTAGTTGGTGCTTAGTTGGTGTTAGTTGTGCAGTGTTGTGTTAGTTGGTTGAGTGTTGGTGTTTAGTTGGTGAAGTGTTGGTGTTAGTTGGTGAGTGTTGTGTGTAGTTTGGTGAGTGTTGGTGTTAGTTGAGTGGAGTGTTGGTGTTAGTTGGTGAGTGTTGGTGTTAGTTGGTGAGTGTTGGTGTTAGTTGGTGAGTGTTGGTGTGTGTGTGTTAGTTGGTGCGTGTTGGTGTGTGTGTGTGTGTTAGCTGGTGCGTGTTGGTGTGTGTGTGCGTGTTAGTGGTTGCGTGTTGGTGTGTGTGTGTGTGTGTTAGTGGTTGCGTGTTGGTGTGTGTGTGTGTTAGTGGTTGCGTGTTGGTGTGTGTGTGTGTGTGTGTGTGTGTGTGTGTGTGTGTGTGTGTGCGTGCGTGCGTGCATCTAGAACTGTACAATCCATGATAATCCTACAAGTTCAAATAATAATTTGTTTTATTAACATTTCTTAAATTTATACGTTTAATATTTGCATACGATACAAGTTTTACATTTATTTTGTGGATTGTAATTTTGACTCCTTTTGTAAAATGTACAGTTTAGTTTATAAATAATAAAATAAATAAATAAATTCAATTACACCAACTTACCTTTACCATTAAATTCAACACTTCCTTTGCCAGTTTTTGCATTTACAATCCAATATCCCTCTGTGCCACCTGGACCATTTTTAACTTTGAAGGCATAAACTCCTCTAACTTTTTCAATCAGTTTGTCTTTGTCTTCTTGCATGGCAGTTTCTAATGCGTTAAATAAAGCAGTTGCCCTGAATCCATCTGGTGAATTTGCTGCTGCTGTCAAATTAACTGAAATCGAAGAGCTGAAACAAATGTGTTATTTTATTTATTTTTCAACATACAAAGTCCATCAGATTTTCCCAATAACTGAAGTATTTGTGATATAATATTAAGAAGATGTGTAATTTATACAATTAATAATACAAAGAATAATTTAAGATATAAATGCCAATCTAATTCAATAAGAATGGTTGCTGTTAAAATTAAGACTACCTCTAATAACGTTATGCAGGAAGCAAACTAATATCCCTGGTGAATGACAAAAACGTGATTTCCTTATTTAAAAAAGGGAACAGAAGCAATTGTGACAACTATAGAGGTTTATTATTCACATGCTATAAAATATATGCAAACTTTTTAAATAAAATACTTTTTAGTATTTCTGATATTTCAATAATAGAAGAACAAAATGGTTTTAGAAAAGTACAGATAATATTTTTACCATCCAACAACTAATAGAAAAACCTAGGGAATTTAATCTAGAGATCCATTTAGCTTTCATTGATTACAAAAAAGCTTTCCAATAATTGAAACGCTCTACTTAATGGAAATTATGGAAAAAAGATAGATTAAATGTTCACGATTAAGTGGTGTGGATAGCCTCGATCCGAATCCCACTGCCTGCCAAGGATGTAGCTTTCCCCCCAACATTGTTTAATATATACTTGGATGATGTCATTCGATAATGAAAGAACAAAATTAGCTCAGGAATTAAGCTTAGAAATTACCAGAATATCTGTGGAACTCTTTCAGAGTGTTCAGTCAGGTGACCGTTTTTTTTTATTTTATTTTTTTACAGCTATTGCTGCCACACCACAGGTATCGTGCACGGGACGTGAGAAGTGTGATTAACACTCAGAAATTATTTGCTATTATTCCACAAACTGTGGCTAACTTGTCTTAGAACCATGGAACCGTCCATTACATTGTCATTCCGCTAAAGGAAAACGTTCACGGAAAAATATTTATAGTGATAGAATCGTGTGAAAATATTTTGAAACTCTTCAAGACAGTGGTTAATATTTTCTGCATGTTGAATTCAGTTAATATTTGGAGACTTCATTACAGATATGAGAAGCCTGACTAGCAGGAATTGTGTTTTTTTTGGCAGGCCTGTCATGACAAGTTAAGAGTTGAGAGTGCTGCATGAGCAAATGTATAGATAAAGGGAATTCTTACATACAGATGGTTTCATCAAAGGTTGCAGAATTATTATTTTCACAGAGTCAAAAGAAATAAATTAGTATTATGACACTATGACAGCAGATGTGTTTCAGAAGCGGATGAAAGATTTCTACCTTGATTATTAGAGCTATCCATTTATGTAATGGGCAATGCAGTTGTTCATTCTGTACTGGTGGGTGATATTTTTCAACAATGGTTCTTTTAAGATTGTGAAAAACACTTCTTTATGGAATTCATCCTTTTTAAAATAACTGATTAGAAAAAACACATATTGCTATTACACAGTTCAGTCACAAAAGTAGTTGTTTCAACATTATTTACATCACTATAAAGATTGGAGTACATGTATTAAATTCAATTGCGTTCAATGATCTTATAGTAAAACCGGAAATAAAATTTTAATTGGAACAAAGTTTGCCAATATAATATATAAAAGCCTCTGAGATTGTTATTCATAAAAAGTTTCTCACTGAAATAAGTGTAAGTTTTGTTGAATTAAATGTGATGTTGACACTTGTGATGGAAACATTGCATAAAACAGAAACCTTCCTAAACCGGAACTTTTTTGTCCCGATCAATTCCCGCATAGACCGATTTTACTGTATATTCTTTTTCTTATAAAATATACAGAAATAAGAGATATAACAGACTTCAAAAAAGTAACTTTTACAGCAAGAACTACTTCATTGCTCTATTATCTACTAATATTTCTATTAAATCAAAAGTTATTGTATTTGCTGCTGTATAAGCCGCCCTTTTATCCTTTTTTTTTTTCCATTCCTTTGCTGAAAAGGAACTTGTGAATAGGGGTGTAGCCTATACACTAAGATTTTTCTTTAAAAGAAAGGAAAGAAAGAAAAATGCCAAAACTAACTTTTTCAAATGTATGAAATGTGTTAAAGTTAAATGTAATCACTATCATTGCTCCTGGATTCATACATTTTCCCCCTTATTCATTGTCACTTTCACATTTGCTGGAAACATTCCGTAATACATCATCTCACTCCCGTCCATCTTATTTGAAATGCCGCATACTATTGAAGTTTTGGAGACCAGTTTGCCTGCAATTGATACCCATTCATACAAAATCCAATGACATCTTGATCACTGTAACCTCCTTGAGGCGGAAGATTAGAATCATGGCTTCCGTTCTTCCACCTACGTACAAAGTAAACGTCGCACGTGCACTTTGAATGGCTGGTTAATAGCTGTGTCTGTTGTAACATCCTGGTCATGCCATCTGCTATCACTACAAAATCCCCATTGTTCACCTTCAAATTACTTCTTAACCTCTCTGTTGTGCGAGCCCAGAAACTGTCAGAAACTAGCTGGGTTCGTTATTTCAGCAGTACACCAGGTCGCTGCAACCACACATGCATCATCCAGCCCAGGACGAAGTTTTCATCCATCCTTCCATTTTCCTGGACACGCACCAATTATCCCGGTGGGAAACTTTCTCCTTCAGCATAGTTTTCCTTCTGAAAACCAAGTATGGTGGAAACTTGTGCATGCCCGCCATTATCACCAGCATAGTTAGTGCAGCTTTGCTTCTCTGCTCCCGCAATTCTTATGGGAACACCATTCTTGACTGCTGAATCCATAGTCTTAGTATCGATTTGCCAATACGATGCCATCCATGATTGCCCCAGTATGTAATCGTGCTGCTTCCAAATGTTTATTTTATACCACTGAAATAGTATCAACTTATCCTCATGAGCTTGTGGCAGTCTTTGGGCTACGATTGTTCATCGCCGTAGTGAGAGCCCCCCCAAGTCTCGCCAGGAACCACCACGTACAAGTAACTCGCTTGAAATTCAGTACAGGAAATACAGAGTTTCTTGGCAATTTTGCTGCCCTCAAACTGCAGCACCTCTTGCAAAGTGGCAAAACTGTTGCACAGGGTTTCCTGAACATAATGCAACAATTCTTCTTTATCCGCTGGATATTTACATTTCTTGTCTTGAAATCACATTTTTTCTCATTGGTATTTGCGGTTTTGTCTTGAATCCACCACCTCAGATTTTTCTCATCCATGTTAAATTTCCTCTGGCTGTTTGATTCCCGTACTGTTTGGCAAACTTTATGTAGTTAACTTATACACAAGATATTTTTTCTTCAAATTGTTGTGTCAAAGACTTATTGTGGCCTACGCACAAGCAAATACGGTACACCGTCTGAAAAACTACATCTAATTTATTCCATATTAACTGAAAAGTTTTAGACCTTTAGTAGTTTTACCTGGAATATTGTGGAAAACCTAATCGGTAAAGAGCTACAACAGCTGCACCACCAAGGCCAATATTGTGTTGTAAAGCCAGTTTTGCACCAGGAACTTGCCTCTTCTCAGCTAAACCCCGTAGCTGCCAACACAGCTCAGCACACTGAGCTACACCTGAAATGATACAACACTAAAACAAACTGGCTCTCTAAATGTAAAAAAGCATCAACTTATCAAAGTGTTAAAGCTCAAGTATCAACTCAGTTAAACCCACAAAAAGTCATCCACTCTTTGACTTTCCCAACTTGCAGTTCAGTTCCAGCTAATAAAATAAATAGTTTACTACTAATGCAGGGTGTCCAGACCTTCAAGTTGGGGGAATGCATCAATGTGAATATTAGGAAATGATATACCCATAGAATACAATAAAAAAATGTTCAATATAGTATCCTGTACATGTAGTATAAAGAATTCTGAGTAGTAATCATATGTGGTGCAGCAAGGTTGAAATCGTTAATTCAGAGTTTTTGAAATCATGCTTGCAACTCTAAATTAAGTTCCCAATCATACAACCAAAACATAATTTGCTAGAATAATGTACAGGGTAACTTTACCACTGCAAGACTGTTGTCCATAACAGCAAGAAACAAATGAAAGAAACAGAGGAAGAGGAGGACAACAAGAGGAAGTACAAAAGCCAGAGGGAGATGGAATCAATAAACACAGCATTATAATATATGGGAATACCGATATAGATATTTGTTAGTTCCATCATTTTGTACATTTGAGTCCAATGTCCAATTTTCATTGAAAAGTCCAAATTTTCCAAAATTGCAAAAATATTTTCATTCAACTCTTTTCGACCCTCCATACTACACCATTGAATATAGATTTTTCTTTATAATGAAATCTGTTCTTCAAGATTGGACTTTTAAATAATAATGTTATGTACAATATTTTTAAAATATGAATAGTTTTCATATAATTTTAAGTGAAACACAGGTCATTTTAGAAAAAATTTGCAAACAAGATTCTTTTGAAATTGTCAATATTAGATCATAGAATTTCATTTGTCAACATTAGATCTTCAAATAATATCATGACACCTTTTGGTTTAGAGTTCATGTGTTATTTTGAATTGACCTGTCCACAATCATCAAAATATTTTAAATATATGTGTATTGTAACGCAATAAACAATTGTATCACACATAATAGAAAGTAATTTACTACTTAGAGAAGGAAGAATTATTAAATATTTTGGTACCAGGGACCCACCAGAAGAGTTATTCTGTCAAAAAATATGTTTTGGGCTTCAGCATTACATTACTTTCTCTACATGAAAAAGTAAAAAAGTTTCATTTTAAATTACCTGTTGCTCCCAGAGGATGTCCTTTAGAAAGGAGACCTCCACTTGGATTAATAACATATTTACCGCCATAGGTATTGTTTCCGGACTCTATCATTCCAGGTGCTTCCCCAGGACCACACAGTCCAAGAGCTTCATATGTTATCAGTTCATTTGCAGAAAAACAATCGTGTAGTTCCACTACATCAACATCTTGTGGTTTATAGTTAGCCTTTTGGAAGAGCTTCTCAGCTGCAGCTTTGGTCATATCATAACCAACCTGAAAATATAATGTAAAAATAAATACATTACAACAAATTACAAAACAAATCAAAATAAACTTTTTTTAAACATGAAACCCATAAAAACAACTTATTCTTGTAAAAAATCATGAAGAGAGAATGAAATATATGGAGATTTAAGGGTAGCACACAATATGAAGTTAATTCTTCAATGGATGCAAATCAAGCATGAGAAAATGGGGCAACATCATCAGGTATCTTACTAAAACGGAAGGCACAAGGGAAAATAGGTATCAATTAAATTATTAATACAATAAACACTGCAAAACAATATAAGGTTACCCTAGTACCTGTAATACTCAGTTTGAGTTCAATACCACAGGATTATAAATAGTTAGTATTCACCACGTGGGTTCGTGATATTGACATTGTTATGGTTCTTAAAAAATGTCAGTGAAAATGTATACAAAAACTAGTTTCTAGAGAATACCAGCATCAGATATCTTCCCAATTATAACAATTAAGATAGCAAATGTATAGACAAACTTACTATTTTCATGCAACTCTGATCACTAAATGTTGATGGCAAATCTGTTGCCATTTCCATTCCGACTATTTCCACAGCCTGATTCTCCAGACCATGTCTATGCACAAACTCTTCGGATGCTAGTAGTGCTGCAGCAGATCCATCAGACGTTGGACAACATTGTAATTTTGTGAGTGGCCCAAAAACTCTAGGAGAGTTCATAATTTGTTCTAAGGTATATTCTTCTCGAAATTGAGAGTAGCTGAAAAGTTACAGAAAATGTCAAAATCAAACAAATAATTAGCATAGTAGAAATTGTTATCAAGTGACATAAGTAGCAATCTTTTAATGTATGGATAAGATTTAATCACTTTTTCGGTATTAGGGCCCTGTAGTTATAGTTTTTCTGACTAAAATTTGAAGATTTTCCGTAGCAACATTACAGTACCTTCTCTCTACTGCGTAAGCAGTAGCGATAAAAAAAAAAAAAAAAAGTATCATCAAATTTGTACTTCTGCAATAGTATTATTTTTTTTTTAAATTTTTGGAAAATACTTTCTCAAAATATTATGTTACCATTCTGTAATGCTATACTTTCTGCCTTTCTTACACTTCAAATATCACTTTATCTCATAAATAAACGAAGCCAGAAAAACAGAATTTTGTATTCAAAAGTTTAATTGAAACTATATTTTTGGTATTGAATTCATGAACATAATGCAAAAAAACTCACATTTTCGAAAATTAACAAGACCTTATTTGAAGATATGTTTTTGATGAACATATTTAATTTAGAAAAAAAAGGAAAAAGATACTTCAATTTTTTCTTTTCTTTTTCTTTCTTCGAAAATTCAAGGATTTCGAACATGTGACCTGTACCATTCTCTTAAGCGTCTTTGCACTATTCGAAGTCAAAGTTTAAAAAATGGTGCAGTTTTCGAATTGTTTAAACAAAACAAAAAATTGTCTATATTTCACTCATTATTACCCAAATTATCGAAAAATTGAACATGACCTCATTTCACAAATGTCTTTAAAGAACTGATTTTATTTTGATAAATAACAGATTTAACAGATTAACAGATTTTATGAAGGAAAAAATCCATTTTCCATATTTAAGTTATAGGAATACATTGATGAAGGAAAAAATTGAACGTTTGCTATTTTTTCTAAAAATCAGGGATTCCAACGAAAACGAGATCTGCGCCAATCTGTTAACGTTCTTCACACTGCCCAACAACAAAATTTAATCAAAAAAATTTGAAAACGTCCCAGGAGCTTCATGTGAAATACCTCCACCACCAAATTAAAATATCGGGTTGCAAATTCAAGGGCCGCGACATCAGCCAGATCGATAGGTTTTGGATCAATTTTGGAGAAAATCGGCCGAACGGTTGGGCCGCTAGCGTTGTTCACGGACAGAGATGTTTTGCCGTCAATGTAGTTTTCGGTATGAAAGCCCCAAGCATCGCAAAACTGATTCTGATTACGTAATAGGTTAAAGGAAGTAATTTACTATAAATGGGGGCAAAATTTATCCAGTTTGCATTACCAGGGCCGCCAATTTGAGCTTTTGGGTGGAAAGTTTGCCGTTTTCTCTCGCAGCATTACATCACGTTTTCTCTACAGCACAAGCAGTATTGAGATTGAAAAAATATTCAATCTTGTAGTTGTAGGAAAACGGTGAAAAAAATTGAGTTTTGTATTTGGACAATTCAGTAAGTTCAACAAAAATAAGAATTGCGCCACTTTTTGAAGCATCCTTTGCTCTATCCGACGAACAAATTTGAAGTTTTTAATTTGGAGCTCTTTTTTCGAAAACATTTCAAAATTTGAGGTGCATGTAAAGAATCCTCAAATTAAATAACCATTTCAAATTCGCAGGGCCTCAAGATCGGCGAGATCGATTGGGAATGAGGATTTTGGAGTAAATTGTCTGAACGATTTACGCGCAGGAGACCACAGACCACCAGTTTTGCCTTCAACAATTGTTTCCGTACCAAGGACTCGCAAAACGAGAATTCTAACTACACGATTTTCTATATCTTACATTAAATAGCATACACTTCCCACAAAGTCGTGGTAACTGGGTAATTCCTAGGCATTTTAGGATCCAATGGGTTCCCTAGACTTCCCCACAGTACTACCAGCAATGCTAAATTGCTCCATCGTAATTTACAAATTGTGTGTAAAGTTTAATAGAGCTTCTCAGAGCAATTAACGAGATAGTCAGTAGATCGCCTCGAGACGTGGTCCCCAGGGTCTTGAGGGCACTGACTGTGGATCTTGGCATAGCCCCAGAGGTTCCAACCACCCCTGGCAGGATTCTGGCGTTGGGTACTCCATGAAGTTGGGTTGCCAGAGGGATGACTGGTTGGCATTTTACCACCTTTTCCTCCACTGCTTTCAGAAGGCTAGATCCATCCTCGTGGCGGACAGTCACATCGACCACGTGGACCCCTTCCCGGCTTTATATTACCCCTTCTGCAACGGAGAAAGTGGCTTCCGCGGACACCGCGGTGTCCGATTTCCGGAGCATCTTCCCTTCTATGAAGTTTTTGATCTCGTCATGGCGCTTTATTCTTGCTGGCTTCGTAAAAATGCACTGACCGAGGATGTGATTCATGGTTTCTACCGCTGTATTGCACTTCCTACAGTAAACATCCTCCCAGGGCTTTCCCCTACTAAGAGTAGCTTTATTGGCAGCGGTATTTGATATCAATTGGAATGCAGTGATAAAATCTTAGTGCAGTGACCAGGTGTCAGAAGATGATAATCTTTCAAAAAGGCATTTCCAATCGGATCGTTTATATGCGCCCTAACCGCTCTCTCTTGGGATCCCAAATTCTCCCAGGCGGCTAACCTCGCCATCGGCGCATTTCTTCTTACAAGCCCTTAAATCTTGTTCAGAATAGGGCCAGTTGAGTCTCCGTAATTTTGCTGTCTTTAGTGTCCGTTGGTGAAAACTGACAGGAGCTCAACCATCTGCAAACGGGATCTGCAGATTTTTCTAATCGTAATCCTAGGTTCAGCGCAACTGTAGGAAAGTGTTGGGCGAGCCGCAGCAATCCCAATCCTCCATCTCTCTTAGCCAGATAGAATAAGCAATCTGCAGTACTCATATGCAGATGTAGGAACCGTTTGACTGCCACTCTGATTTAACCGTCCATTTCCCTTAGCATCGCCATTGATGGCATGGATAGATCCAATTAATAAAAGTAATGTGGCATTATGTATGTATGTATGAAGTAATGCCAACTTCTGAGTGGGCTCTAAATGCGCCTTTTGAAGCCTCGACACTGCTTCCATCAAATTCGATATGGATGCTTTAGATGGGAAGCCGTTCCAGATAGAGTAGTGTGTAAGAGTGTGATCATTGCTGACAAGGGGAATTCTCTCCCCCAACCTTTCCAGACAGGGGTTCTCAATGAACCAGGATCGTTCAAAAGTTGTAATTTGAAATGATGAACATTTCGCGACGGACAGTGTCATTTCGAGGGCCCCAAGATATTCCACCATAATATCAACTAACGTTTCCCAGATATTGCACAAATTTTCAAAATTTTCGAATTTAGGTATAAATTAGTCTTTAATTCGGGCAAACATCTGGTACATTTAGTTTTTATGTTTCATGCGTTTTTCTTGTGTGGGTATGCTAACTTAACGTTAAGTTAGCGTACCCACTTTTAGTGTTGAATATGTCGATGTTGGGCATTAGTAGAAAATGTTTAAATTTGGGTATAAATTAGTCTTTCATTAGAACAAAATTATGGGATACAGTTTTTCAATATTGTGATAAATGGGTATGCTAACTTTACGGACATGTCTTGCCCAGTAGAGCGGCCAAATTCTCTTTCCACGTCTCAGATTGCTCATTCTCCAATGCCGCCATTTTCATAATTACCTCTGAAGAGAAGACTATCCCTGCACTAGGCACCGCAGTCCTACCACTATGCTGCGCATTAGCAGCTCGAGTCCTATTAGCTGCGTCTGGATGAACATTGCGCAAATGTTGCGAGAGCCCTGATTTGGCTGCGAAGTTGGCGGAGCATAACTCACATATAAAGTCTCCTTTAGATTCTTTCGGACCCGGGCACTTAGAGAAACGACTCAAAGCTGATAGCCTACCTTTGTAATTCTTTCTGCATTTGGGGCATGAAAAGATTAGGGGTATATTACTATGGATAGTATCGTGATGCCGCACCAGTTATTCCAATCAGTGGCCATGTAGCCACCCCCTCCTTTCTGGGCACAATGTACGCAGCGACTCGTCTCGAAGGGAATCCCAATCATGAACCGTTCCAATGGCCGTCATAAATGGTGGCCTGTTGTTCACGGGGCGCGCCACCATGCGCACCCGCGTCCGAGGCTTCGTTCGTATTAGGGGGAGTGATCTCCTTCATACAGGAACAATATTTATCTACTTTTTCGATAGCATGGTCGGACAATACGAGTTTTTCTGTCGAAAAATCTCCGTTTCTTGCCACACCATCACCAATATTTTTAGCTATAGTTTTCAAGTAGTATGGGAGTCCGTGAAAAATGTACTAGCCTTATATAATAGGATTCAGTGAGATATCTTCATAAGTCACATTTTTTATTTTCTCGAAGACATTGCGCTTTAAACTAGGAGAAGGAATGAAGAGTACATTTTAATTGATTTCACGTAGGATAATGAACATAATAAAGAGCATATTCATGTACAAACCACGTTGTAAATTAAAAAGCGTGTTTACAGGCGTTCTCCAATTAGCTGTACAAGAAAACTGCTTTAGTGTGACTTACGATAACTTCTCACTGATTCTTTCAATTTACTTACGGGTTATTAACTGAATGTTTGTGATTCTTGTATGCAATTTTAGCTAAATGCTCTTCCTTGGTTCCATATTCATTCATATGCTGTTTAGCTGCATTTCCAAAGAGCTGAGCTGTTATGGGTGTGTTGTTGATCCCAGCTATGTCAGCCATAGCCTCTACATGTTTGTCCATAGGATTTGTTCGATCCATAAACTGAAAAAGCGTTTTTCTTAAACCTGACACTAACAATTTTAGAATATACAAGTTTTAAATTTATTTGTTCACATGATATTTTCAGTCTTTACCAACTAGAATGTTTGGTTTCAATAAACAAATACGTATTTGAATTTTGACTAGAATTTGTGGTGAAATATATTTGCACATTAATAACATAGCGATATATAGAAATAAATTATCAATATAATTCAAAAGCAGATAAAATAAATTATAAAAGAAAAAAATGAAAGCAAGGAGGGAAAAGAGAAATAGAAAGGAAAGTAATATAGGGAAGAGAGACAAAGAAAAGAAAAAGAGGAAAACATGTTGAAAAATGTGACAAGATTCACAGTCTAATATAAAACAGAATTTCCACTAAAATGAACTGAATGCTGGTACGCTATGCTATACTAGACTTTGCTGGCAAATTCAGCGAGCCTTCACGCACCTTGTTTTTGTGCGTGTGTGCTCCTAGAAAATTTACATGTTTTATAAATGTGTATTATTTTAGGTCGCATTACACCTTTAGATTATAGAAAATATATACAAATACGAGGGCTGAGGCAAAAGTCATGGCAATTTTTGTTTTTTCTAAAAGACATCGTGTTATCGGATAACACAATTATTTTCCGCGTGATAGAAATGCTGTACTAAAGGGTGTTCACGAGAACAGATCTCTCGGAGTGCTTCTATTAACACAGAGAGTAATGTGAAAGCGGTTGTCTGACTGCCGTCGCAAGATAGCTGTTCCTGGGAGAAAGGCCTGAGAATGTCACATGGAATCGGTGGAAGCTCTTGGGAAGAATTCCCTTCCATACCGGACAGTCGCGAGTTGAGCAGGAGAGTTCCTGCGAGCACTGTCCTGCGTAGCAAACTAGTGAACAACGCACGTAACAACTTGCGAGTGTGCGGACTGACGAGTCACGTGCGGTAATCGAGCGTCTGCCAAAACGGGCCTTGAGAACGGAGAGGCTTTTGGAATGTTGTGATCTTCATATGTTAAAATACTTTTGAACACGGCATTCCAAAAACCTTAATAAATATGAGAAAAACAAATTTGATACGTCTTTAAATGTCCACGCACCTAGTTCAAACCTTGTCCTTTCACGTGCATTTCACGTTTTTCAGCCGTGCTCCTATTTCCACAATAAATTAGTTGCCATGACATATGCTCCAACCACCGTATTTAATAAAAAGACAACGTGATTGTTGTATGAATCCTTTTACTCAACTTCCAATTTATTTTAATGCTTCTGCCTCATCTTTTCTTTTTGTGGATCAGTAGTGTTTCTAAAATTTGATTTACTTAATCACTGACTAATTATCTTATGTAATGCAAACATTCGTAAATATAGTGCTTGGAGTAATTTCATTTTATTGGATATAAAACTCACTATTGAACATTCTCATTAAATTTGCGTATACATCTTTATACTTCGCTTTGTTCATAGTACTCTTCGACAGGTCATCAGCTGTTACGGTGACATCCAATAGGAAGCTTAACGTCACCAGAGATGTCCCTGTAGTGACGTCGCAGCTCCCGATTGGATGACACCTTAGCAGCTGATTTACGTCAAAGGACTGTTTAAATCGAAGTATACAATGCTTACCAGTTAACAAAAAATATTTAGATTATTTCAAAAAACAAATATTTTCAGCTGCAAGACTACTTTTTATCATTAGAGGCAAGTCTGATTAAGAAAACGTCAATGGCATACTTTATTTTTGACACAAATAATACAACATACAAAACTTATTATTGTGCCCTCTTAATAAAACCATTGATTTTTCTGTTTCTGTCAATAACAAATATTGTAATCCGTTCTGTCTTCTTCCGAGTCCCATGTCTCAAACGGATTTTCCTAACTTCCTTTGATCCAGAGAGCAAATGGTAATATTGTAATTTACTTTAGTTCCGAACATTTAAGTGTTGCTTTTATCCCCCTTCTAAAAGGTCGGATGAGGACTGGTGTAGTTTATCAGATAATTTAAAATAATTTTTAAAAAAGGGTGAAAAAGGAAAAAAGAAGGAAAAAGGAAACAAATGAGCTTGGAGGAAGGGCGAAATTGTTATAAGTGCAATTGTGCACTAATAGAATAATTATATATCCCCCAAGGATAAATTGTAATTAATTACTGTACTCATTTCTACAAAGCACCACCTAATTGAGTTTACCGTTTATCGAATGAAAACACGTTTTTATTGCCTACGTTAACTGTAAAGATGCACTTCGAGACGCAAACTGTTGACTTATGAACGTTGACGCTATAAACCAACATGGCTGCAGTCGCGGATATTGTAAATGAACCCAATGTTATAAACATTGTTAAATTTCCACGAATTCGTTCAACAAAATAATGCTCGCAAGTCACACGAAAGTGTCTTACACATTGGAAAAATTCCGCCCCACAAATTACCTCGTCCGGATAGTTTTCATTCGTAAGCAAATTATTAGCTTTCCTTACTAGTTATGTAAATAACTATTTTGTATACCTTAGAAGTGAGAGAACCCCTTTCCATTTTCTCGAACCCCAGGGCTAAAACACAGTCACCGTTTCCAGATTCAATGATCTGCTTAGCCATCATAAGAGCAGTGGATCCTGTTGAGCAATTGTTATTTACGTTGTAGATAGGCAAACCCGTCATTCCTATTTCATACAAGGCACGCTGTCCACAGGTGGAATCCCCTACAATTATAAACATAATTAGGAAAGTACCATAATTATTTTCAAAGATATGCTCAGAAAGGAGAGACGCAATTACGAATTTCACTTAGACTCACCATACACGTAACCAACACACGCTTGTTTAATATCATTCATCGTGATACGTGCGTCAGCTAGGGCTTTGGTAACAGCTTCCTTGGCCATTTGTGGATAGTCGAAATCCTCTCGAGACCCAGGTTTCTCAAACTGAAAACAATTAAACATGTCACCATTGTTAACACATAATCAAAAACATTTATTGAAATCGGTGGGCAGTAGTCGTTCAATATTTAAATATTATTTGTGCCCTGGTTGGATTATGGGATTGTAAAGGTCCTGCATTGTGAAGTTTCATTCATTTTTCGCGTTATTTCGCACGCTAATATTCGCTCTTCGACTTTACTCGTCAAGGAATCAGTTCGTCCGCCTCACAAAGATCTCAGCGTGGTGCGAGTGTAGTGGTGGGTACCTGACAAGTTTTTCTTCTCGAGGTTTGTGAATGGAGGCGCATTTAAAACGAGTACGTTACTTACTACACTTCATCTCTCACGTCATTCGAAAGACCTTTCATTTTAAAATCATTTTTAATTCATAGGAAAATACATTATTATACCGTGAGCCAGTGGCATAGCTGAAGCTTACCTTACCTCGGCGGGGATTGATGCGAATGATCAATGCGAAAATACAGTAGTGGCCTGAAGCAGCAAAAATGCTGCTGAATAAAAGAAGCATCAGAATTTTTTTTTAATTTAAATTTGTTGCGTCTTCAATTGATGCAACTCGTCTCCACGCCCCGGGGGCGTTGAGCGCTTTGCGCCTTCGGAGTAATCCTCCATTAATATTTCAATGTCATAAGTGTCACGTGTCGTCGCAGTCAGTTCTCAAGAGGACCGCCAAGTAGCATCTCCGCGTACGCACCCCCTACTACGCGCCCCTGGGTCACTCAGCGGATAGAATTGAAACGGAATTAGGATTGGGAAAGGGTTTCGGAGACTTTACAGGGGTTGGACTACCCACTGTGAAGCTTGTAAACTCGTTTTGTCGTAACAAATTTCACATGAGGATCTACGGGGATTCTACGGTAATCGAACTCGGAACCTCAGTGGTGAAAGGCAAGCAATTTTGCCACTGAGCCACGAGAGCATTGTCTCGTGGTTTCGCAAGAAACAGCACGCACAACCCTCAAGAAAAAAAAATTGAATACTCTCACATAACACTGCAAAAACGGTGTATAGAATATACAGTACAACAATTCTTTACATACCAAGAATATAAAAAAATGTTGGTTCCGTAACGCAACATGTGAAGAGCAAATATTTAATGGCAGGCGATCTCTTCCTTAGAGCCTTTCTGTCGCATCACGTCAGCTAGTCATACGCAGCGACGCACCAAGAATGAGAACTCAGTCGATACGCGCAGTTTGAAAATATTAGGAACGCACACAACCGTATTTACATTTTCAGTCAAAATCGAAAGTTTATTTTTGTATTTTATCCGAAATTCTGGGAATCTAATGAAACCATAGGCAACTCTCAAACGGCCGGAGACTTTGTAGATTTCCTCGTGCTAGCGGGAGACTTCAACACTTGGGCCGTGGAGTGTCGTAGTTCGACAATGACAGCGAACAGGCGAGGCCGTGATGGACTAGAATCTTTGTCTCTTGAACGAAGTGCCCAACACCCAAGGCTTGCACAACTTCTGAAGAGGTGTGGGATCGCGATGGACTTAACGCAGATGACTGATAACTTTGTGAGCACTACACACACAGCAACCACCATGCTATTCTGTACGAATGTCAGGTGAAAGTGTCAAGTAGAAATGTTTTTAGATCGAGATTTCAGAAACACTGCTGGAAAACCGAAGCGTTTATCGATGTGTTCCGACTATGTTTGGAGAATATTATACCATCAAGGTATAAGACAACGCAGAGAAAACGGCTGGCAAAATTGAATAATCAGAGCTTGTGATGCAGGTATCCAGGCGAGGAATTAACAAATGTTATCCAGATTCCTGGTGGAACGAAGAAATATCTCAATTACGTCGGTAGACTCTAAAAGCGACCTCGAGAAGAAATTTTAAGAGCAATACACTGGTCCGGAATCAGCTGAAGATCTGAATCCGAGAACGTAAATGCCCTTGCTTGTAAAAGCGCCTCTGCGACGAAGTGGGCAATGTTTAGGTCGCAAACCAACGTGCCCTAACATTCTTTGCAGAATTGTGACTTCATTTCCACACCATTCATCAGGCCCTTCACTGAACCAACTACTTGAGAATACCGGCTGAATACCTGTCACACTATCTTGCTGTACAATAGGGTCGGCAAGTACCAACAAAACGGGACCTGGAACACACTGAATTTTCTTTTTCTTTGGGTATGTCCTAGGCACTGGTTAAAACTCCCAAGCTTTTAACTTCCCAGACCATGTGGTAACTTCGGGAGGCTAGAAAAAAATGCATTTTTAATTAAAGAAAAGTTTATCTATAATTACCCTAAGTTGTGGAGAAATCACGCTCAAAAATATTTTACTTTGCATCTACAGACCTCCAATAAAGTCAGCTGTAGGTTGAACGTTAATAAAAAATATAGAAATTAATCTTAAACAAAGACAAAGGCACTATTGAATCCATTGTTAAATGCGGAGATTTTAATATTAATTCTCTGATCGAATTTTGAGAAAAAGGGCCTCAAGTAATTCCTTCAGTTTAATTCCTCAGTTTACACACTTCAATAAATTTATCTTCACGGACCACATTTAATTCAAAAAGGCAATTGATCAAATCAAAATTAACAAAAGCACTACTAGACATGAAATTAAATAAAAGAATAAGGATAGAGTGACCACAATGCAAAAATTCTTACAATTGCTAGAAATGCGAACCCCGATACATTACATAATACACGTATGTGTAGATTGTTCAGTAAAATAAAATTATTCACAGACCACGACTACATAACTTATGAAACGCGGTTTACAATGCTGTCGATACATTACACGACCAATATAATTCGTTTTTTCGATGCTTGCATTTCATTGTCATGCGTGGTATATCTCTATCGGCCAGGGATTCGGCGCCATTACTAGGGGAGTATCACCTATCCAGGGAGTTCTCGGTGTCTGCAATAGCTTAACAGTGACTTCACAAACCTTGGTTAAGAGGTTCGGCAATCGACGCCGGCCTTCCTCTTAAAGAAAGAAAATTAAACATTTCACGGAAAAGCAATACTTGGATAACACGAGGGATTAGAATATCATGTAATCCTTTATTTCCATTTCTAAACATCATAATGTATGCCACAATTTCTACATCTCCTTCAAAAAAGACAAATCATTGTTAGAATAAGTCAAAGCAGAAACCAAAAATCATGAAAAATGCTATATTGAACTCAAATAACAAAATAAAAGCAATTTGCAATATAGTAACCAGTGGTGCTAAAACAGCACCTACTTTCTGGCATTATTTCTAACTCATAATTTTCAAAAATTCTGCGAGAGCAACGAAAATGAGACATGCACAATTTTTTTTTATTTTTAAATCGTCCTTTGCTCTATCTATGTAAAATATTTAAAGACAAATATGGAGTCTTTTTGAGAAAACGTTTTTATACTTCACGTAATTTTGCGTGAAAAATATTATTTTTTTAAACTTCAGACGTTCCTCAAAAATTGACATGACGGAAGTTTCTCCATATAAACGGTCAGTTTCGTCTTCTGTCTTGCGAGGATTAGGTCTGAGGCCTGTTCCGATCCCACCATCTCTTCTTCGGCCTTCCCACATTTCCTTTGTCGAGTGGATTACATTCCTTTGCGTGCTCTAGAATATTTTATGGTAGCATAAGACTCTCTCCATTCCCCCCCCCCTTTAGTACTTTCCTGATAACTTCCATTTCCAAGGATTCTAGTTGTTTAAGATTTTTATTTCTGAGCGTCCAGGATCGCGTTCCGTATATTAAGGGGCGGACACGATCTTGTCAAATTTGAAGTTTCTTTTCTAGGTCTTTTTTCAGAGTTCTGAGACATTTGTTGATGTGCATTGATTTTTCCTTAATATCTCCGTCTTTTTCAGAAGTTATGTCACAGCCTCAAAACTGGAAACGAGATACATGCTCAACAGATTTGTTATTTACATACTATTTTGTAGTGTTTAAGTTTTTTTCTGCGTAAATACCCGAAAAAGCAATTGATTTGGTTTTTGTTATGTGTTTTTATAGTTTGTTATGTACTGCCATTTGCAATTTGTCTTCGCTGTCTTATACGAGTACTTGAACTACAGCGAAAAGCAAGATGTTAATATATATCTGTTGGGTCCTCTAATTCCCAATTGTTCAATTTTCAATTGAACGAAGCATTCAACTACGTTTTTGAAATAGGAGACTCAGTAAAACGCGGATTTCAAAATTTCGAAACCTAGAAGCATTATAAGGTAATATTCACATACAGTGCATTTGTTTATCTGTGACCTGAGCCCAGTCTTCAAATTGGCCTTATGCCACTGCATTTCGCATCCTTCTCAGCCGTGTCGCTAAATGTCGCGACCATATCGAAGACGGAGTTCAGGTGCGCAGTTTAAAAGATCGCACTATAACCTAATAGTATCACCGTGGGCATTCTAAGGCAACAAATGCGTTCGTTTGTTGTTTAGTAGCCAATCAAAATGTTCAATGAATAAGATTATCACTGTAACGATTGTTTGAAAAGAAAGTAGTACTAAGTTCTCATTCTCATTTAGTGAATTCCAGATATCAAACCAATTATAACACTTAAAATTTCACCTATTTGCTCCACCCAATCACTGTCATTGCCAACAAAATACACGGACCCAAAAAAGTACGTTATGTATATGTGGACCTATTAGCGCTACCTTCAGTAAAAAGTATTCCTATCGCAAATTTCTTTGATGCGCACGGAAATCAGGCAAAGCGCGGCGCCAGTTTTGCGTGCGTTCCCGTTCGGCGAACACGCCCACACTACAGGAATTCAGGGTCAATTTTTACAAGCGTAGACGTTGTTAAGAAATGGCGCGACAATGATCGAAACTCAGTGGCTGAGGCCCCGGCGAGACCTTTGTTCCGCGACTATCGTGTCTGTTCATATGCCACTCCTCGACAACCATGTACTAGGTGCTGTGGCGCTACCTTTAACCTTGGACCTACGCAAGCGGCAGCGTGTGAAGGCGTGTGAACCGAGAGTCGACGGGAGGCGAGGACT